CCAGCATTTGAGAGGAAGAGGGGGGGGGGGGAAGAAAACCAAACCAGAATAAACAAAGCCTTCTTACTACTTTTACTACTTCTTTTTTGATAGCCTAGGGACATCCCTAAAGATTTTATTATTCTCTTATTTATTATTCTTATTATTTATTATTCTTTTCTTTTCTAATTATACGAAATACTGCTGCTGAGTTACACATTTTCCTACTCTAGGTGAATATATGTCCTGGTATGTTGTGGTGGTTAAAGAGAGTGTTGTAGCATACTAAAGGTGAAGACTCCTTTCTGAATACAGTGTATCTAAATTAATTTTGCATTTGCAGTGTCTTCATCAGGAATGCTCGTCTTGAGCTCATGCATACTTCAGTGGGGCTATTTTTGAGCATTGTTGCTTCAGAGGAACTGCCTACACTGGGAAGGAAATGTATCTGGTGGGTCTTAATCACTAGATAGCTTTAGAAGGCATGGCTAAGGTCCTGAACTGGCAGTAGAAGCCAACGTGGAATTTAGGAGATGATCTTAGCATGCGACTAAAGGCTTGTAGCGTTCCCTTTTGCAGCTGACATGGGATTGTCTCATTCTGCACATCGGAGTTTAATTCTAAATACAGTATGTAAAGATGATTCAAGTACAAAATGCTGACCACTCTCTGATTACTGCTTCAAAGCTACTGCACTTGTTTGGTGACTCATAACAATTTAAGTTGATTTGGGGTAGTGGTTTAACAGTTCAATGAAGTTTTTGAGTTTGGCGTTTTCCAAATCTTGACATTGCTGAAGGTGGCTTTTAATCTGATGTATTAAACAGTGTGCAGCACATCCCTGAAAAGTGCACTTTTCAAGACGAAAGGCTCTAGAGCCTTCAAGATTGATTCATGTGAGAAGAATATAGTTGCATTATCTGGACTTTATTGTACTGTCTATGTGTTCTTGCTTTCTCTGTCTTTACTAGACTTTCTTCTGAGCCTGTGTTAATTTTCTTTGTGTACTCTTGTTGGTGCACCTAGAAACAGTGTGTCACTAGAGAGTAGTCTTGACATAGCATCTGTACTCAATCAATCTGCATGCAGCTTGCAGGGCTCAAATTTAGACAATCATTGCATTCCTGCACCTGGATGACTAGTTTCTGCTCCAACTATCCCAGTTTGGGGTGATAGATGCTGTGTCAAAATAGTATTGTCAGTGTAGACAGACCTGTGGGTACGTCGAGGGAATTTGGGTGATAAGATCTCATAATCGGTGTGCAGCCTCTTAAAGAATAAAAGCCAGTTTCAAAGTAGCGGCGTATCTGAAATGTGAGTAGTAGTTTTGTAGACTTTCCAACAGTCCTTAATGGAATTTGTGTGTCTTGAGTTTCTTAACAATCTTCTGAAATACCTTATCAGAATGAAGGATTGTGATGGCAGCAGTAAGAATATACTTAATTTTCTGCCTTTTTCCCTTAACTTTTAGGTTTCTCTGATGGACTCAGTAAAAATTAAACTTAACGTGTAAGAAGTGTGCCCTTCTAATCCTTAGTTTGACTTTAAATTCCAGTTTTAAGAGCACTGTTTTGTATGAGTGAAAAAAAAAAAAAAATTGCCTTTCAGATTTCTGTTATGAAGTCAGTTCTTGTCTTGGAACCTTCGCTTCATTTCTGGACATCTTGGTTTTACAGGGTGGAAAAAAAAGGAAAAATGTGTTTAAATTAATATGGGCAGAGAGAAAGCAGAAAACCCCATTTCTTAAACAAGAACAGCCATCAGATTGTTACATTGACTGTGTTTTTCATGCTGCCTTACATGTACTTTCTGATATGTAATTTAGTAGTTCCTGTGAGCTTTCAACTCATCTGAGGAATAACTTTACCTTTTCACCAAGTAAACTTTTGAACGTGGAGAAATACTCATCCAACTGAATATTTTATTTTTTAGTGATGAGCATTCTGTAACATGACTGTGCAACAGTATGATCTCTTAAAAATGTAGTGTTACTTTGGGCACTGTGTTCTGCACACTTTTTTTGGCTTTTTTCCCCACTTCCTTTTTTTTTTTTTTTTTTTTTTCCCAAAATTATAGCTTTTTCCATGATGAATAAAATACAAAGTTTTGGTGTCAGAAATCTAGAAGCTGCTTATCCAGAGTGCGTTTATTGTAGCATTAGCAGGGGATTAGGAGGGAAACCCCTGTGCTCACAGAGTCCATCTAAAACTGACTTCAGATATAGTTCCAAAGTGTTGATTGAAAAAAGGGGGCCTTCTTTCCAGTCAGGTGAAAAGTGTATTTCCCTGAAGTATCATTGTTCACCTAACAGCTGGTGGGCTGTGCTGTCCAAATCTTAAGCACCCAGGATGGATTTAAGTTTCCAGCAGTGTGGTAACTAATGCTATTATGTGCCTTCTCACTGGGTGGTGGATGCGGGGTGAGGGGACAATCAGTTTGTTCTTTCTTATGAGTGTGTCTTTCCTTTGGTTTCCAGAGGGCCAGTGCTGTACTGAGTGGCTGTGCCAATGGGGTAAGTCTTCTCTTGTTTGTTTTTTTTTCAACAATTTTAGAGGTTCTTCAAAGCAGCAAGCAACTTGCCAGGGAAACACCATATAGCTAAATCTATAGGTTAAGTTAATTCTAAATGGTTAAATATTTATTAGAAGTTCTTTTGCCCTCTGCTAATATATGTTCTCTAGAGTCTTTATCCTTCTCTTTAAGTAATAAACTCACTCAGACTTATGTTAAAACTTCACATAAATTTATCTTAATAAAATTGTTTCCTGGTTATATGAAAGGAAAATATTCAATATTTAGTTTGCTGTGTTTTTTCTGCTGTATATCAACAGAAATAACTGAGTTGTTTACAGTGAGTATTATTTTCACGTGTGTGTGGCATTTTAGCTTTAGTTAATAGTTTACAAGTCTTAGTTTAGCTTAAGATAGATGCATCATTTTTACAGTATATTTGTTACACTTACTATGTTCCAAATGCTGTGTAAAGACATAGAAAAACTTCGTGTGGCTCATATCCGATAGTCACTCCCCTATGCCTGCTTTAATCTTCTAACTGTATTAGCTGCTATTGTTAATCTAAAATACTCTTGCTATTTTAGGAGATGCCTACTTAACACACATTGCCAGCAATTGTACTAAATATTTCCCTGCTGAACCGGTTGCTCAGGTACCCTGCCTGTCTTTGTTGCTATGGGAGATTGGAAGACTATTACTGTGCCAGTGCTGTCATCAGGTAAACTAGGGATATTTTTAATTTAGTGGTTTTGCTGACTTTATCAGTGATGTTGTAGGTGCTAAAGAGAGATGCTGAAATTTCATGTATGACATACTTGACTAGTTAAGCAGAATGTTAAATAATGTGTAGTACATGCAGTGCTTTGTTTTGGATTGAGTCCTTGCAGAAATGCTGCTGTAATATACAGCCCTTTCACGTGTATATAAAGGTTCTAAGACTCTTCAGTTACACTTTTTATCGCACCTCTTGGGATATCTTGCATTTTCAGAGGTTTCTTTACTTGTTCTGTTGCCTCATAAATTGACTACAGATTTATTAAAGGAGTAAGTATTTTTTTGCCTGCTTCAACCTAGTGGAAGAATAAGTTACAGCACACAATAAGTATATCATACCTTCTGTAAGAATTTCCACTAAATACACAGTTTCTGCACCTGTGTAAAAAAAAAAAAAAAAAAAAAAAAAAAAAAAAGTGTTGTAACAAGCCAATTGGGAAGAAAGGTTAGGCAGGTGTTTTTCTTGGCAGAGGAGTAAAATTTGGAAGATACAATACCTTAAAATGTTATTGAATCTTTAATCTTCAGTGGAAGTTTATCCATTTTTTTTCCACTGTGAATTGTTTAATATATGTCATTGTAGCTGAAATTCTAAGCTCTAGACTTGTTAATTTCTGTAAATAATAATTTGAGTAGTTGGGGATTTGTTTTTTTTTTACATAATGTGTCCTAAACTATTAGTCCTGACTTGTTTCTTAATGTTTTTAACTTTTTTTAGATAGCAAAAATATTTTTCATTATACCTCAGAAAAAAAGATATCTCCCCCAAGCATGAACTCGCAAGTGCTACGCTTGCCACTGCCTTCATCCAAAAACATGCACAGCTTTTTCAGTGCCTTCTGCACAGAAGAGAATATTGAACAGAGTATATCCTATCTCAATAGGGTAAGTCAGATCTTGTTTATTGGAGGTTGTGTGAAGTTAAATCAGTTGTGGTAGTAAAGAGATTAAGAAGGATTAAGATGGCTTCTTACTCAATGCTCAGAAGCCAAAGTTGGTGGGGAATATGGTGTATGTGTCCCCAACCCCTTCATATAGGATCTCACTGGATACTGTTTATCTCTTTTGGAGAATTGTGAGAGACTGAGTTATTTATTCCCATCCCCTTTGTGTTTTCCCAGGAACTGACAACATTGGGCTTTCCCTCTATTTATGCGGAGTCCAAAGGACAAGAATTAAATTTAATATCGATCATAAATTGCATGAATGAATTGCTTGTACTGCAGCACAAGAACCTTCGAGCTCAGGAAGAAGTAGAAATGCAGCATCTGAAACTGGGTAGTGATATGGATCACTTGCAGAACTGCTATGCTAAATTAAAGGTAGAAACTAACATAATTTTACCAATATTAGGCAGCACTTATGTTTAAGTGATACTCTATGTTCTTAACAGTGAGAGCTTTTCTTGTTTTTCTCCCCGGTACTAATCTGGAATTGTATTTTTATGTGCGCTTTTGGGTTTTTTGGTAGTTTTTTTCTAGTTGAAAATTCCTTAAAGTTAACAAAATATGAATTAATGAGAGAACTTAAAATTTACTGAGAATTATGGCTTCTTTAATCAAGGAAGTGGGAAGACTGTTTGGATTGGAAGTGTTAATGCATGCTGTGGGTGAATATGTTAAACAATTCATATCATTCAGTATCGCTTAAAAGGATGTGCCCAGCTCTAAGAGATAAATTCCCAATATAACTGTAACCAGTAAAAGCATAGGTAGCATTTCTGGGGTGTGGCACAGGGTTGTTATCAGTCTTTCTCCATATCTGTAGCTTCTTCCATGTTTTGCTATGGTCACAGTCTGTGTACCTGTGTTAATTGTTCCTTTAATTATTTAACAGAAGCATTTCAGAAATGCTTTAGTCCCAAATTCATACTAGTTGCTTAGTATCCGCCTCACTATCGCAGTATAGTTATGCTCACAGAATCCTGACTTAATGAAAAAGTAATAACTGTATAAGATAATATCTGTTAAGTACCAAGCTAAATTTTTGTTTCTTGTGAGCAGGAGTGTTTTTCATACTGGAGAATCATACTTATTACTCCAGAAAAGAGAACTAACTTGTCATTGGGAATGCAATATCATCCCTAAAACACCAGAGATCAAATATATAGGCTAACTTATTCCATGTGAGGTGGTATGGCAGTTTGGTTTGGGTCGTGGTGTGTTGTTGTTTTCTTTTTTTAATCTGATACTGAACTATCAACACTTTTTCTAGGAACAGTTGGAATTATCTAAAAGGGAAATAGTTGGACTTCAGGAAAGAGACAGACAACTGCAAAGCAAGAACAGAAATTTGCACCAGTTACTTAAAACTGAAAAGGATGAAGTGAGTTGTTTTGTGCATTAAACAAGACATTACACAGATATTCAATAATATGATTTTTTGCAAGAGGTCTAGTGTTTTGAATGCTTTTTTGTTGGTAAATGTTGTCTTTCACCAAAGTGAAATTGGCATGTTACATATGCATAAATAGGTTCTGTAAGGGATAGTTCCAAGTTAGTGGTAGACAGTACTGCAGAAACATACACGTGCAGTTTTCTAAGGCTTGCTATAGTTTTGAGCATAGCTTTATCTTAGAATGTTTAAAAATACCAAAAAGTAGGAGGGGGCAATAGTGTTCAGTCACATCCTCAAAGATGTGTATAGGAGCTTTTCTTTGGTGTTTTTTTGTTACATTGTAGAGGAGAGCAAAAGATCAAAAAGGGAGCTAGGGAGAAACCCAGCTCAAAAGCACAGTCTCGTTAAATTTCGGAATCTTGGAAGAACCAAGATCAGAAAACAGTTTGAAATCCAAGACACTGCTCAGTTTGGGATTGGTTTCCAGTGTGCTTCTCCCCCTGCCCCCAGCACCCATACTTTATATGGCTCCTAAGTTTCTGTGAGTGTTCTCTGTGTTCATAAACATTCATACAGCTAGCAACCAGTACTATCTGTATATAGTGAACATCTTGAAGTTCCAGCTTAAAATACTGAATGTGCTATATATTTGTAAGGTTAAAACTGATGATTCAGAAAAACCCACGAATTGATAGTACAGGCCAAGAATGTGCTTTATATGTTTCTTTTTGACCAAATGGAATAGTCTGTCTTCCAGCATCCTGCTGCCCAAAAGAAGAGTTTTGGGTTGGTGTTTTTTTTAGTGTAAGCCTAACAAGCATACTTTAGAGCTAAACTAGGTCCTGAATGTTATTTACTGAAACCCAAGTCTTTCTCTGCTCTGTTCAGTAAAGGTGTTAAAGTTACATGAATTGCCAGAACGTGAGTTCAGTTGTACTTCAGAGGTGCTATAGTATTATAATATGTTGCTTATAGTGTTGCTTTCTGCAGAAAAGAAACTAAATTCACTGAGATAAGTCTGAGGTCAGAATCCATGGGTTAGGAGAGTTCTTCTGATTCCTTTTGTCCTTTCACTAGAAATAAGGTTTAATAGAAATATCATTTCACTTCATGTATTTGTTTTGGTTTTCTGAAGAGATTTATGTGCTTATGCTCTAGATGAAGAAATACAGTTTTTGTGGGGTTACTTTTAGGTACAGAAGTTACAGAACATAATTTCAAGTAGAGCTACACAGTACAATCATGACATGAAGAGGAAAGAGAGAGAATATAACAAATTAAAGGAACGCTTGCATCAATTAGTCATGAACAAAAAGGACAAAAAGATAGGTAAGTAGCTGTGAAGTTGACTACAGCAATAGTAGTATTTGTATGTTATAACTGTTTAAATTTGGTTCTGGGTATTTTTAGAGTCAATATGGTTCTCGTATATTTTTAGATGTTAAAATCTTACATAACAGATGTAGTATTTCATGTCAGCTGACTGTGGAAGGCTAAAACTGTTATAATGTTTTACATAAGATTAACAAGCACAAACCAAGATGGAGATCTTTCCCTAGTAAAAAAACTAATTTTGTAGAATTACTTGGAATTAATTCCGAAGCTAGAGCTGTGTTTCCTCAACTAACTTTCTACTGCTACCATGACGAGACTTTCAGATAGTCATAAACACTTCTGGAAGTCCTGCTTCTCTCCTCTTACACCTCCTGCCACCTCCAAAACACTTGGCTGTTTGCCAACTGTAGCACATGTTGTATTTTAGTAAGCTGATTTAGTTCACTAAACCAGAAGAAAACTATTCATGTTGTTGCCAAGTTGGTTTTCTGCTGATTTAGTTTTCTGAAAGTGCTTGTGTGTAAGCCAAACCAGGTTAGGACACTGTAGCAGGAAGACCTATTTTGGCTACAGAAAGTCTTTAGGTATCAGCTCAGTAATCTCTAGAATCCTCACCCTGCAGTCAGCAAAACTTAGTTGTGGCATGTTCTTGACTCCAGTTGGCTAATAGTAGTTCAAGTACCAGTGAGGTCAAAATAACAGGGTTTTAAATCTAGCTTACTGTTTACTTGATAGCTGACTAGAATTGAACAACACTAATCTGTAACAACACTAATGTGTTTGGGGAGGGTGGGGTGAGGTGTTGTTTGAAGAGAAAAAAACCCAATCACGTGGACAGAGTAGTTTCTTAGTTTTGAGGAACACCTTGTGAAACATCGGGAAGTTGCTTGCTCTGAACTGGAGATAAAACTGCCATTATTGTCAGAAGAGACGTTAGAGTTGATACACCATTGATATAAAGGCTGAAATAAGGATGAAGGTGCCATTAAGAAATACATATAAAAGATGAGAATATGTCCCTCTGAGTTTCCAAACACAAAAATTATCTTCTTTCCTTGATTGTCTTACTCTTACTTTGTTAAGCAGGGCAATGTGGTTTCATACAGGTCTGTAGACTGAGGGGGATAATTGGGTGATGTGGTCTCTTGACAATAACTACATGTAAATAAGTAAATGCAGTGTCTCCTGGAATTTATATATTTGCATGTTTCATGCTTTTGAAATATCCTTTTCATTTGTAGCTATGGAAGTTCTAAATTATGTTGGTAGAGCTGATGGGAAGAGAGGTGCATGGAGGACTGATAAGACAGAAGCCAGGTAGTTATCTTAATATGCTTCAATTAAAGTTGTTATTATGGCTTTTCTGTTGTTACTGTAAGATTTCCTCTTCCAGAAATGAAGAAGAAATGTACAAAGTTCTGTTAAGTGATTATGAACAACGCCAAAAACAACTTCTAGTGGAAAATGCTGAGCTGAAAAAAGTTCTTCAGCAAATGAAGAAAGAGATTATTTTACTTCTCCCACCACAGAAACAGAAACCTAAAGAAAGGTCTGAAGATGGGCTGGTAAGTATTCTTCAGTTAAAATTAGATCTGTGTGGTAGTTTGGTATAGTGCTGGAGTTAATTTGATCATTAGGGGGGAAAAAGAAAGGTAAACTTTTTGTGGAACTTGGAGTGGACTGTACATTTCTGCTTGAAATCCATCTGTTTAAATTTTCTACTGTCTGTGAACAACACCCAGTGTATTCTTCCCAGTCAGTCAATGGAAAGCATAATTTGAATGAATTTTAAATGCAGTAGGTGCCTGTATGTAATTCAGTGCAACAACAGTGCATTTTGGATTTTGTCTGCCTTGCATACTAAGATGTTGATACTAGCTTTCAAGGTGCTTATGTGAAGAAACCAGGCTTCCCATAGAATCTGTGAGGGTGAAGGAAATGTAATTAAGGTGCACTCCTGTAGTACGTGGACTAGAGTAGCTGTTAGTTCCTTTTGCGGAGCTTCTGGCATGTTTAAGGAAAATTTGGTTTCTTAGTAAAATGGTTTGTGGGGTTATTTGTTTCCAGGTTTTAAGTATTTCTTTGTTTGTAGAGGATACTTTATTGTTATGGAACAGCACACTGCATGTTCACTGTTACTACATTTGCTGATTTCTTGCTAGAAGTTGCAGTTCTATTTTGATAGTCAGAGTGAAGTAGGGAATCTAGAAGGTTAACTGAGCTTTCTCTTAGCAATAACGGGAAGAGTACCACTGGGCATAAGAAAGAGTTGAAATACAGAAAACATGCATAAAGTCTAGATTCTAGGAATCATTCAAGATTGATGTACTAGTAATAGGATATTGAGAGAATACAGATACTCTACAGAACAAATTATGAAGTATTTCCTTTACAGTAAATAGTACATGTTGGCACATAAGACTATGCGTAGCTGGTGCCTTCCAGAGTGTGCTGTTCAGTGGAATCTAGGGCTTGCCATTTCAGAAGGTCCCCTCACCTGCCTAATTGCTGTACTCTACTTCCTTTGTCGGGTGCATTTGGCCAGCCCCAGAACGTTTGAGTACATCCAGCTGTGGGAATGAGGTCTTTATGAACTTGTGCATTGAAACAAACTTGAGGAAAAACTGGGACTTGGTGATTTGAAATTCACTGTTCTTGGGTGATTAGACAAGTATTTGTTAACTGTTGTGTCATTAATAGACTACTAAGAAAATATTAAAAGCCTGCACTGAAACTTCTGATTAGGTCTTTTGTAATAATACTAATGAACCATATTAAGCAAACAATTATTCACTAGACAACAGTAATTTCTAATAGAATAATAATAGAAGTACTTACTAGATGCAAGTCTCAAGTGGAATGATTTCAGCAGGGTTGTAGGGTGGTGTGGGTGGTCTTGGTTTTTTCCTATTTAATCTTTCATGCCTTCTCTAATTTCATGCCACTCTAGAAAGGGGAATAGTTTTTGTCATGATAGGGACACTGCTTTTTTTTTTTTTTTTTTTTTTTTTTT